GTCTTGTCAATTCACTCCTTCATCACTAATTCACTTTTTTTAAAACCGGTGTCTAGTATAATATCAGAGTGTTTCGCCCAGTGTCGGCGCAATTTGATTCCAAAAAAGCTGAAACTTGCCACGCTAAAATCTCAGGCGATTAGCTTTCGAATGGTGTATGTCTTGTCAATTCACTCCTTCATCACTAATTCACTTTTTTTAAAACCGGTGTCTAGTATAATATCAGAGTGTTTCGCCCAGTGTCGGCGCAATTTGATTCCAAAAAAGCTGAAACTTGCCACGCTAAAATCTCAGGCGATTAGCTTTCGAATGGCGTATGTCTTGTCAATTCACTCCGTCATCACTAATTCACTTTTTTTAAAACCGGTATCTAGTATAATATCAGAGTTTTTCGCCCAGTGTCGGCGTAATTTGATTGCAAAAGAGCTGAAACTTGCCATGCTAAAATCTCAGGCAATTAGCTTTCGAATGGTGTATGTCTTGTCAATTCACTCTGTCATCACTAATTCACTTTTTTTAAACCGGTGTCTAGTATAATATCAGAGTGTTTCGCCCAGTGTCGGCGCAATTTGATTCCAAAAAAGCTGAAACTTGCCATGCTAAAATCTCAGGCGATTAGCTTTCGAATGGTGTATGTCTTGTCAATTCACTCCTTCATCACTAATTCACTTTTTTTAAAACCGGTGTCTAGTATAATATCAGAGTGTTTCGCCCAGTGTCGGCGTAATTTGATTGCAAAAGAGCTGAAACTTGCCACGCTAAAATCTCAGGCGATTAGCTTTCGAATGGTGTATGTCTTGTCAATTCACTCCTTCATCACTAATTCACTTTTTTTAAAACCGGTGTCTAGTATAATATCAGAGTGTTTCGCCCAGTGTCGGCGCAATTTGATTCCAAAAAAGCTGAAACTTGCCACGCTAAAATCTCAGGCGATTAGCTTTCGAATGGTGTATGTCTTGTCAATTCACTCCGTCATCACTAATTCACTTTTTTTAAAACCGGTATCTAGTATAATATCAGAGTTTTTCGCCCAGTGTCGGCGTAATTTGATTGCAAAAGAGCTGAAACTTGCCATGCTAAAATCTCAGGCAATTAGCTTTCGAATGGTGTATGTCTTGTCAATTCACTCTGTCATCACTAATTCACTTTTTTTAAACCGGTGTCTAGTATAATATCAGAGTGTTTCGCCCAGTGTCGGCGCAATTTGATTCCAAAAAAGCTGAAACTTGCCATGCTAAAATCTCAGGCGATTAGCTTTCGAATGGTGTATGTCTTGTCAATTCACTCCTTCATCACTAATTCACTTTTTTTAAAACCGGTGTCTAGTATAATATCAGAGTGTTTCGCCCAGTGTCGGCGTAATTTGATTGCAAAAGAGCTGAAACTTGCCATGCTAAAATCTCAGGCAATTAGCTTTCGAATGGTGTATGTCTTGTCAATTCACTCTGTCATCACTAATTCACTTTTTTTAAACCGGTGTCTAGTATAATATCAGAGTGTTTCGCCCAGTGTCGGCGCAATTTGATTCCAAAAAAGCTGAAACTTGCCACGCTAAAATCTCAGGCGATTAGCTTTCGAATGGTGTATGTCTTGTCAATTCACTCCTTCATCACTAATTCACTTTTTTTAAAACCGGTGTCTAGTATAATATCAGAGTGTTTCGCCCAGTGTCGGCGTAATTTGATTGCAAAAGAGCTGAAACTTGCCATGCTAAAATCTCAGGCAATTAGCTTTCGAATGGTGTATGTCTTGTCAATTCACTCCTTCATCACTAATTCACTTTTTTTAAACCGGTGTCTAGTATAATATCAGAGTGTTTCGCCCAGTGTCGGCGTAATTTGATTGCAAAAGAGCTGAAACTTGCCACGCTAGAATCTCAGGCGATTAGCTTTCGAATGGTGTATGTCTTGTCAATTCACTCCTTCATCACTAATTCACTTTTTTTAAAACCGGTGTCTAGTATAATATCAGAGTGTTTCGCCCAGTGTGGGCGCAGTTTGATTCCAAAAATGCTGAAACTTGCCACGCTAAAATCTCAGGCGATTAGCTTTCGAATGGTGTATGTCTTGTCAATTCACTCCTTCATCACTAATTCACTTTTTTTTAAAACCGGTGTCTAGTATAATATCAGAGTGTTTCGCCCAGTGTCGGCGCAATTTGATTCCAAAAAAGCTGAAACTTGCCACGCTAAAATCTCAGGCGATTAGCTTTCGAATGGTGTATGTCTTGTCAATTCACTCCTTCATCACTAATTCACTTTTTTTAAAACCGGTGTCTAGTATAATATCAGAGTGTTTCGCCCAGTGTCGGCGCAATTTGATTCCAAAAAAGCTGAAACTTGCCACGCTAAAATCTCAGGCGATTAGCTTTCGAATGGCGTATGTCTTGTCAATTCACTCCGTCATCACTAATTCACTTTTTTTTAAAACCGGTATCTAGTATAATATCAGAGTTTTTCGCCCAGTGTCGGCGTAATTTGATTGCAAAAGAGCTGAAACTTGCCATGCTAAAATCTCAGGCGATTAGCTTTCGAATGGTGTATGTCTTGTCAATTCACTCCTTCATCACTAATTCACTTTTTTTAAAACCGGTGTCTAGTATAATATCAGAGTGTTTCGCCCAGTGTCGGCGCAATTTGATTCCAAAAAAGCTGAAACTTGCCATGCTAAAATCTCAGGCGATTAGCTTTCGAATGGTGTATGTCTTGTCAATTCACTCTGTCATCACTAATTCACTTTTTTTAAACCGGTGTCTAGTATAATATCAGAGTGTTTCGCCCAGTGTCGGCGCAATTTGATTCCAAAAAAGCTGAAACTTGCCATGCTAAAATCTCAGGCGATTAGCTTTCGAATGGTGTATGTCTTGTCAATTCACTCCTTCATCACTAATTGACTTTTTTTAAAACCGGTGTCTAGTATAATATCAGAGTGTTTCGCCCAGTGTCGGCGTAATTTGATTGCAAAAGAGCTGAAACTTGCCACGCTAAAATCTCAGGCGATTAGCTTTCGAATGGTGTATGTCTTGTCAATTCACTCCTTCATCACTAATTCACTTTTTTTAAAACCGGTGTCCAGTATAATATCAGAGTGTTTCGCCCAGTGTGGGCGCAGTTTGATTCCAAAAATGCTGAAACTTGCCACGCTAAAATCTCAGGCGATTAGCTTTCGAATGGTGTATGTCTTGTCAATTCACTCCTTCATCACTAATTCACTTTTTTTTTAAACCGGTGTCTAGTATAGTATCAGAGTGTTTCGCCCAGTGTCGGCGCAATTTGATTCCAAAAAAGCTGAAACTTGCCACGCTAAAATCTCAGGCGATTAGCTTTCGAATGGTGTATGTCTTGTCAATTCACTCCTTCATCACTAATTCACTTTTTTTTAAAACCGGTGTCTAGTATAATATCAGAGTTTTTGGCCTGGGGCGGGCGTAGTTTGATTCCAAAAATGCTGAAACTTGCCATGCTAAAATCTCAGGCGATTAGCTTTCGAATGGCGTATGTCTTGTCAATTCACTCCTTCATCACTAATTCACTTTTTTTTAAAACCGGTGTCTAGTATAATATCAGAGTGTTTCGCCCAGTGTCGGCGCAATTTGATTCCAAAAAAGCTGAAACTTGCCACGCTAAAATCTCAGGCGATTAGCTTTCGAATGGTGTATGTCTTGTCAATTCACTCCTTCATCACTAATTCACTTTTTTTTTAAACCGGTGTCTAGTATAGTATCAGAGTGTTTCGCCCAGTGTGGGCGCAGTTTGATTCCAAAAATGCTGAAACTTGCCACGCTAAAATCTCAGGCGATTAGCTTTCGAATGGTGTATGTCTTGTCAATTCACTCCTTCATCACTAATTCACTTTTTTTTAAACCGGTGTCTAGTATAGTATCAGAGTGTTTCGCCCAGTGTGGGCGCAGTTTGATTCCAAAAATGCTGAAACTTGCCACGCTAAAATCTCAGGCGATTAGCTTTCGAATGGTGTATGTCTTGTCAATTCACTCCTTCATCACTAATTCACTTTTTTTAAAACCGGTGTCTAGTATAATATCAGAGTTTTTGGCCTGGGGCGGGCGTAGTTTGATTCCAAAAATGCTGAAACTTGCCATGCTAAAATCTCAGGCGATTAGCTTTCGAATGGTGTATGTCTTGTCAATTCACTCCTTCATCACTAATTCACTTTTTTTAAAACCGGTGTCTAGTATAATATCAGAGTGTTTCGCCCAGTGTCGGCGCAATTTGATTCCAAAAAAGCTGAAACTTGCCATGTTAAAATCTCAGGCGCTTAGCTTTCGAATGGTGTATGTCTTGTCAATTCACTCCTTCATCACTAATTCACTTTTTTTTAAAACCGGTGTCTAGTATAATATCAGAGTGTTTCGCCGAGTGTGGGCGTAGTTTGATTCCAAAAATGCTGAAACTTGCCATGCTAAAATCTCAGGCGATTAGCTTTCGAATGGTGTATGTCTTGTCAATTCACTCCTTCATCACTAATTCACTTTTTTTAAAACCGGTGTCTAGTATAATATCAGAGTGTTTCGCCCAGTGTGGGCGTAGTTTGATTCCAAAAATGCTGAAACTTGCCACACTGAAATCTCAGGCGATTAGCTTTCGAATGGCGTATGTCTTGTCAATTCACTCCGTCATCACTAATTCACTTTTTTTTAAAACCGGTATCTAGTATAATATCAGAGTTTTTCGCCCATTGTCGGCGTAATTTGATTGCAAAAGAGCTGAAACTTGCCATGCTAAAATCTCAGGCGATTAGCTTTCGAATGGCGTATGTCTTGTCAATTCACTCCGTCATCACTAATTCACTTTTTTTTAAAACCGGTATCTAGTATAATATCAGAGTTTTTCGCCCATTGTCGGCGTTGTGAATGAAGTCTTTATTGGACAACCTCAAACTTGGGTTAATAAACCATATTATAATAACAACGCGAAATAACGTAAAATATTATAAGATATACTGTAAAGACGGTTTTTGAAGACCGAAATGGCCCGACCCCTCTCAAGGCCTTTGACCGCCGTGGACACGGCGGAAAGGCAGAGGGGTCAATTGGGGGCGGGGCTGTCTATTTCGGAGACACTCCCCGGCCAACATGAACAGGGGGATAAACAATTGGAGTAGATAGACGGCGATCAGAAACAATCCTACAGACAGAACTGTTATGAATATTGTTTTATAAGAACCCCAGATATCCTTCAATGCTTCCCACACGCTGACGACTTCTGGCGTCAGGTCCTTGGCCGCCCGTTCCATATCTGATGGGATAATGGGCTGCGCTATAGCCAACTTGCCCTTCAGGGAGAATTGGGTTTCGCCTCCCACGCAAATTGCCTTACAATCTTCGTTGATGTCGGAGGTAGTGGAGTAGATGGAGGTTGATATTCTTTCCCCAGTTATACACTCGATTTCCTTTATAATAGTACTGTCGCATTCGAATCTGGCGGTGGTGGGTCCAAAATTGGTAGAACACTTCATTGACATTGTGGCTCCTTCTGTGCAATCTAGGCATCCGATTATGTTGGTGTCCTCAATAGTGCAGGTAGAGAGGTGTGTTTGCAAAACGAGAGTTTCGTTGATTTGTATTTGAAGCTGTAGTGGAGTAGAAGCGGTCACCAACACTTCGCCATCGTGCTCTGAGAGCATGAGGTCCCCCCGCCTGAGCGGCAGCGCATGGTCCGAACGAAGGATTTCAGGGAGATCTAAGACATGGCAAGAACAATGAGGGTCATATGAATCAGGCGAACAGCGACAGATGTCCCTGCGTACTGGGCATGACATGTCTCTTGCAGCTGATGCTGATGCACATGGATATACAGATAATGGATTGGAAGGAGAAGATCGGACAGTTTCTGGGATTATAGCAGTAGAATTAGATCGAAGGTTTTGAAGAAACATGGAATTAAAAATTGGAGCAGGGGCAGTTGAGAGAGATGCGACTGTTAAAGTAATGTTAGAAAAATGATATGGCAAGGCTGGAGTAAGAACAAATTTCTTAGTGATATTATTCAGAGTAAATTCACCTACTACCGTAGGTGTAAATGATGGACATGAAAATACTGTAAAAATGTCGGGTACATCACTTTCCAGGAAGTATCGGTAGAACAAACATCCTTCTGAGCATAATCCGCAACCGCACCACGCACATCCGCATCTTCTGAAGCAGTTCGTATGTCCAGGTGCTGAGTTCGGCTGATCTCCAAAGGACGGGATTTTTGTCTCCGATTTCGTGGATTCGCAAAAGTTGGAGAAACATTCGGACCCTAGAGCCTGGTCGCAACGGACGGATTTCACCACGTGTGCAGCCACCTGTCTAGTATACGCGAGAGTCGATCGATGGCATTTGTACTTAACGGATTTCAGCTTGATCACCAATCGTGTTGAGGCTTCATTATTTGGTGCGCGGAGTTCTGCACATACTGTTTGCGTTGATGGCGTGACCGGAAACAGCGTGCTTTGTTGATATCGGCATTTGATTACATCCGAAATTTGACAATCCTGAGCCTGTCCCGTCAACACAGCTAAATCTGAACAAGACAAGGTTAAACGCACCAGACATAATAGAGAGATTAGACAAGTTGAGAAAGCGCGAAGTTCTAGTGGACAGATCCGATTGATTGGGCGTGCAACGGTTTTTCTTTGACCGTTTCGTTCGCCCAGCGCAATTTTCACGTGACGGTTGCTTGAAATTTCAGAAACGCGGCCTAATCTCCATGATTGGCGGGGTGTTTTATCCTCCTGCAGAATCACAATCTCATTGAGTTGAGGAAAAGACTTGACAGAAAGATGGGGGTTATCGTGTGTATTTTTGACGCGATCTTGCAGTGTAGTTACGTATGCTTTATTCCAATAATTCCACGTTTTTTCAAGACGCGAATTTGAGTCTTTCCATCGTTTTAAGAGCGCTGCGCGCGCAGAATCATCGTTCTCGGGCAGCCAGTCGGGGTCGTCATCGTTGTCTGTAGGATACGGGAGCTGCTTCGGCATTACTCCGAGGAAGTCGTTTGGCGTGAGGACGGGGGTATCACCCTCGGCTTGATAACAAAGTGGACGAGAATTTATTATGCTTGCGCATTCCAGTAGTTGTGTTCGTAGTTCATCGTCTGGAATAAGTCGGCGGCCTAGCGACTTATGTAATGTTGATTTGCATAAAGCAACGAGACGTTCGTAAATGCCACCCATGAAGCTTCCTTTACTTGGAATAAAATCCCATTTTATTTTTTGTTCTTGAAGAAACCGGCCAATTGATGGATCTGGTGTCAAAACGGCTGATACTGGGTCCTTATTGATTATTTGCGAAGTGATAAGAAAATTATTGGCTGAATCCGAATAGAATGAGATGGGGCAGCCCCGGGTGGAAGTAAATCGCCGCAGGGAATTCAAGAACTTCTCTGCTGTGTTATCTTCAACTAGGTCAAGCCAGAGGGCTCTAGTCGAAAAACAAGTGTAAAGGGCTACCATCCTCTTTGAGGTGTGGTTTCCATCCGATGTAATTAGCGGGCCGAAAAAATCCACTGCTGTGTGAGTAAAGGGAGCTGATCGGGACGTTCGCTTTGGCGGAAAATTCGCGAAAGGTGGTTGCGCATATGGCTGAGCTGTGAAGCGTTTACAGTGTGCGCATTCTCTTACAGTTGTTTTTATCAATGTACGGGGCTTAGGCATAAACAACTGGGACTTGAGCACGTGCAGGGTGTACTCATATGAGGAGTGATGGTGTGATTGGTGTAAATACGCGATGTAAAGCTTTACAAAAGGGGATTTTTTGGGGAGATATGGGGGATTGAATGTTGAATCTGTGCCCTCGATTAAACGCCGAGTTTTTCGAACAAGAAGTCCGTTCTCCAAAATAAGGCCGTAATTTTTTATTTCTTCCTCGGTCGGGGGACATGCCTGCTGTGCCATGAACAATAGGTGGAGAAAAACGACGCGGGAAGATGCGGGGGAAAAGGGTGCGCTGGGATCGAATTTGGCCAGTTTTTGCGCAAAGGTTTTCGATGATTGGCAAAGAAAAAGAAAAACCAAAGTAGCAGACCGGAAAAAAGTATTCCAATTTGAAAATCTGTCTGGATTAAGAATGAATGGAGGGGGATTTGGAGGCATGTCTGAGATTGTCACATTTGTGATCACGGTGTCAACTAGAGCATTTGGTGGGTCTTGGACGGGCCATTTTTCTTTATCCTTCAACCAACTAGGGCCTCGCTGCCAGTCTTCGTTTTTGGATAATTCAGCCAGAGTGCATCCTCTAGAGCCGACATCGGCTATGTTCATGAAACCGGGTACATGTTGAATAATTATGTCCTGGCAATTTCTGAGACGTTTCCAGCGATTAGAAACGTAAAGTTCCATTCCTTTCGTTGAATCTCTTTTTGCCCACGCTATTGCTACCTTGCTATCGCTCCACAGATAAAGCCCATCTGGTTGTATTGTCATGCTTTTCCTTATTGTCATTAAAGTTTCTGCTCCAAGGACCAGTTCCGCAAACTCTAATTTGGGAATAGAGATGACTGATTTTGTTGGGATCAACCTGCTCTTCGCGGAGAAGAAATGTACAGCGACGCGATCCAGATGTGCGACCCTTAAATAGGCCACTGTGCCTCGTCCCACCGAGGATGCGTCTACAAATACGTGTGCCTCGATCGATTGAGCGCCACTCAAATCAAAATAACGACTGAAGGGCAAGGATATGGAATTCCAGTCAGCGCAAATATGATACCATTTTGACGCCAGCGGATGTGGAAGTGATTCATCCCAATGAATCTTGTGTTTCCAAATCTCTTGAATTAACAGGCGCGCAAGCAAGAGGACTGGTTCGGCCATGCCCAGCGGGTTAAAAACGCTGGACAGCTTTTGAAGCACTGTGCGCTTAGTTGGGACCATGCCTTCCTCAATTTCAGGGAAGACTACGAAAAACAAATCGGCTCTCAAATCAGCATGAACGCCCAAAATTTTCGTAATGATGGGGGTCTCATGACCTCTTGAATTAAGTTGAGCACGAATCGCATCGGAGTTGCTGTTGAAATCATGAAGCTTCATGTTGGCTGCTCGAAAGATGTCGGAGATTGCGTTGAACTTGTCTTCAAATGACTCGGCTGAGCAAGAAATAGCAAAATTATCGACGTACAGGGTTTGTTCGACTTCTTTGCCTAACTCTCCGAAATTTTCCAAATGTTTGTGGAGAACCGCGGATAAGATCCCTGGGGCACAGGTTAGGCCGAATGGTAGAACTTTGAACCGAAGGATTGACAAGTTTGATTGGCTAACATCTTTTTCTTTGTCTTTTAACCACAAGATCCGAAGAGCATCTCTGTCTTCTTCCTCGATCCCAACTTGGTTGAAAGCTGCGGACACGTCCGCGATAAGAAAGTGCTTGAGGCATCGGATACGAGTTAAGACGGTGGGAATTGTGGGAAGGTCATTATACCCTGTGTCAAGAAATTCATTAATAGCTTTGGATGCCTTTGTTCTGGCCGCTCCGTCGTAAACTACTCGGAGTTTTTTGTTTGGGCGGTGTACCGCCTGTAAAGGCAAGTATCTTAGAGGGGTGGTGATATCCTTAGGTCGAAATTTTGTACACAATTCGACGTATTGTTTTCGTAATAATTCGGAAATGCTTTCGTCGAAATCATCTAAAAATCCTTCTACTCGAAGTGTCTGATGTAGACTTTTCAGACGACCGAATGCCAGCCAAAAGTGGTCGTCACCGAGATGTGGAGTGCAAGTCTTCCACGGAAGTGACACAAAGTACTTTTGAGCTTTGGTGTCATAACGAATAAGTTGCCGAAACGATTGAGAGGGGTCCTCATCTTTTTGCGCGTTAGAAGAAATCGAAGAGAGAGAGTGGACGCGATTTTCGATAGGCATTTGAGGAATTGCGAGGTTTCCCAGAAGGGTGGGAATGAACCGATCGCCCTTGGAGTCCGAAAACGAAGGGCCCGAAATGAGAGACCAAACGGTACAATTTCCGAGTAGTAGATGAATCTGGATAGAACTTGACTCATCCTCGAAAGCCAATGAGGAAGGATGGAGGGAAGACTTCGGAATTTTGCCTGTGATCTCTGGCATTGAGAGGCATTCAACGGACATGGTATTCCCCGACGCCAATTTGAGAACAACGTTGTATTTTTTACATCGAATTTTTCGAGGAGAAGTTCCTCCAAAAGATATGTTATCGACCATTACCTCGCTTATCGAGGGCAGACTCAGAAGAGTAGCCAACTGATCCGTGATGAAATTCTTGTTTGCTCCTGTGTCAAATAGACAGTGAGACGTGACAAGGGTTGGATATCCGAGCGCGGTAAAGGGGCTAACAAGGAGTTGATTGCTCAAAGAGGTTATTGATTCTTCAGACGATATTGTGGACAAGGTTATGTGTGGTCCGCTGCCCATAGTAAAAGGCGCTGCTGATTGAGAAAGCTGTGCATTTTTGGTTTTTGCGATTTGTGGCGCCGCTGGCGTGATTGGAGTAAATGATGGAGTTGATCTCTCCAGAGGGATTGCATTGCTGTTGCTGGCTTTGAATTTTGCAGTTTTCGGGCATAAAAAGGTATGATGTTGCTCTTCGCAATTTCGACAACTCAATCTGGTGAAACAATTTTTTGTGTGACTCATGCGGAGACACCGAGTGCATCTGGACAGTGCTTTTGCCCTTTCAACTCTTTGTTGAGGGGTCGAATAATTTATACAATTAAGTCCCGAGTGACCGTTAGAGCAAAATATGCAGGGCCGGGGATCATTTTTTGAATTTGAATTCGAAGGCATTGAATTTTTATGACCTTCTAAGTGATCTGACTTGGGAATTTGCGGCGGGTGATGAAAAAACGAATTTGCATTTTGGGACCCTTGTCGCTTCTCCGGAGTACTGTAGAATGAATCAACAGATTCTTCAATCTTTACGAATTCCAGGAGACGTTTACGAACATAAGATAAACTCCAAGAATGTGGGTTGGAAACTTTTGCGTTCAAAAGCGGAGACACTGCGCGTTTTGGAAGTTTGGATAGCACCAAGTTTATCAAAAAATCTCCATCTGAAGTAAGGCCTAAAACGTGTAACTGGCGTAAAATTACTTCGATTTTGTCGATCAGCGCTCTAAGGTTGGGTACGGAATACTTTCCACTGATTGGAGGAATAGCTATCAAGTCGCGGATTAGTGCATTTTTTGTTGCTTCAGAATCGAGGAATCTTTCGCGTAATATCTGCATGGCTATATGGTAATTTTGCCCCGTAATTTGAAGACCTTCAATGGCCGATTTTGCATGGCCGCTTAACGAATTTACTAAATGTGACATTTTTAATACGTCTGCGATTGGGGCTTTATCGACAAGCTCGGAAAATAATGAAAACCACTCGTGAAATGAAGATGAGCCCGAATATCGAGGAAGGGTGAATTGAGGAAGTTGGAGAGACATAGCAGTTTGATAAAATGGTGCGTTAACCTGGCCTACCTGTTCCAAGCGATTTGCTGTAATTGAGGGACCGGAAGGAAGGGGCAATTCGTTCTGACTTCTGGCGGGAACTGGCAATGCTGGACTGGCTTGGACATTGGCGTTGAGTTCTTTCGTAATTTGAACCGGGATTGGCTTGGCTATCTCAGGTACTGTTGGTGGGCCTTGCACAGCTGGCGTAGCTGGTTTTGGAGACGCGATTTGTAATTGTGAGAACGGGTCTGCTTCGCTCAAACTTGAGTCGTAATCCGTTTGAGTGCCAGGTTTAATTGGAGTTAGTGGACGGATGGGCATGTCGACGGCATGGTCGGTAGCTGCATCTATTGCTCTGTCCAATTCGGCGCAGACTCGTTGCGCATGCTTGTGTGTGGTTGCTGCAGCGTTGAGCGGTTTATTTAACGGACCAAATTTGCGATAGTAGATGGAACGTTCTTGGACTTCAGCTGGGATCTTTTCTGCTAACTTCTTCCATTCTGACTCTAGCTCCATTAGAGAGGTGTAGTGCTGGAGTAAGCGGTCATCAGCGGTAGCAACGCTGTGGCGGAAAGCATTTAGTTCCTCCAGCGGAATATCGAGATTGGGTGGAACCTTGGACAGGATGCCATCAAGATTTTCAGTTGCCTTGATCAGATGTGCCCTGGATTTGCCGATTTCAGTCCTGAGGCGTCCGGAATCGGACGCCGCCGTGGTCGCCATGTGAATGAAGTCTTTATTGGACAACCTCAAACTTGGGTTAATAAACCATATTATAATAACAACGCGAAATAACGTAAAATATTATAAGATATACTGTAAAGACGGTTTTTGAAGACCGAAATGGCCCGACCCCTCTCAAGGCCTTTGACCGCCGTGGACACGGCGGAAAGGCAGAGGGGTCAATTGGGGGCGGGGCTGTCTATTTCGGAGACAGCGTAATTTGATTGCAAAAGAGCTGAAACTTGCCATGCTAAAATCTCAGGCGATTAGCTTTCGAATGGCGTATGTCTTGTCAATTCACTCCGTCATCACTAATTCACTTTTTTTAAAACCGGTATCTAGTATAATATCAGAGTTTTTCGCCCAGTGTCGGCGTAATTTGATTGCAAAAGAGCTGAAACTTGCCATGCTAAAATCTCAGGCGATTAGCTTTCGAATGGCGTATGTCTTGTCAATTCACTCCGTCATCACTAATTCACTTTTTTTAAAACCGGTATCTAGTATAATATCAGAGTGTTTCGCCCAGTGTCGGCGCAATTTGATTCCAAAAAAGCTGAAACTTGCCACGCTAAAATCTCAGGCGATTAGCTTTCGAATGGTGTATGTCTTGTCAATTCACTCCTTCATCACTAATTCACTTTTTTTAAAACCGGTGTCTAGTATAATATCAGAGTGTTTCGCCCAGTGTCGGCGCAATTTGATTCCAAAAAAGCTGAAACTTGCCATGTTAAAATCTCAGGCGCTTAGCTTTCGAATGGTGTATGTCTTGTCAATTCACTCCTTCATCACTAATTCACTTTTTTTTAAAACCGGTGTCTAGTATAATATCAGAGTGTTTCGCCGAGTGTGGGCGTAGTTTGATTCCAAAAATGCTGAAACTTGCCATGCTAAAATCTCAGGCGATTAGCTTTCGAATGGTGTATGTCTTGTCAATTCACTCCTTCATCACTAATTCACTTTTTTTTAAAACCGGTGTCTAGTATAATATCAGAGTGTTTCGCCCAGTGTGGGCGTAGTTTGATTCCAAAAATGCTGAAACTTGCCACACTGAAATCTCAGGCGATTAGCTTTCGAATGGCGTATGTCTTGTCAATTCACTCCGTCATCACTAATTCACTTTTTTTTAAAACCGGTATCTAGTATAATATCAGAGTTTTTCGCCCAGTGTCGGCGTAATTTGATTGCAAAAGAGCTGAAACTTGCCATGCTAAAATCTCAGGCGATTAGCTTTCGAATGGCGTATGTCTTGTCAATTCACTCCGTCATCACTAATTCACTTTTTTTTAAAACCGGTATCTAGTATAATATCAGAGTTTTTCGCCCATTGTCGGCGTAATTTGATTGCAAAAGAGCTGAAACTTGCCATGCTAAAATCTCAGGCGATTAGCTTTCGAATGGCGTATGTCTTGTCAATTCACTCCGTCATCACTAATTCACTTTTTTTAAAACCGGTATCTAGTATAATATCAGAGTTTTTCGCCCAGTGTCGGCGTAATTTGATTGCAAAAGAGCTGAAACTTGCCATGCTAAAATCTCAGGCGATTAGCTTTCGAACGGCGTATGTCTTGTCAATTCACTCCGTCATCACTAATTCACTTTTTTTAAAACCGGTATCTAGTATAATATCAGAGTTTTTCGCCCAGTGTCGGCGTAATTTGATTGCAAAAGAGCTGAAACTTGCCATGCTAAAATCTCAGGCGATTAGCTTTCGAATGGCGTATGTCTTGTCAATTCACTCCTTCATCACTAATTCACTTTTTTTAAAACCGGTGTCTAGTATAATATCAGAGTTTTTGGCCTGGGGCGGGCGTAGTTTGATTCCAAAAATGCTGAAACTTGCCATGCTAAAATCCCAGGCGATTAGCTTTCGAATGGTGTATGTCTTGTCAATTCACTCCTTCATCACTAATTCACTTTTTTTTAAAACCGGTGTCTAGTATAATATCAGAGTGTTTCGCCCAGTGTCGGCGCAATTTGATTCCAAAAAAGCTGAAACTTGCCACGCTAAAATCTCAGGCGATTAGCTTTCGAATGGCGTATGTCTTGTCAATTCACTCCGTCATCACTAATTCACTTTTTTTAAAACCGGTGTCTAGTATAATATCAGAGTGTTTCGCCCAGTGTCGGCGCAATTTGATTCCAAAAAAGCTGAAACTTGCCATGTTAAAATCTCAGGCGCTTAGCTTTCGAATGGTGTATGTCTTGTCAATTCACTCCTTCATCACTAATTCACTTTTTTTTAAAACCGGTGTCTAGTATAATATCAGAGTGTTTCGCCGAGTGTGGGCGTAGTTTGATTCCAAAAATGCTGAAACTTGCCATGCTAAAATCCCAGGCGATTAGCTTTCGAATGGTGTATGTCTTGTCAATTCACTCCTTCATCACTAATTCACTTTTTTTAAAACCGGTATCTAGTATAATATCAGAGTGTTTCGCCCAGTGTCGGCGCAATTTGATTCCAAAAAAGCTGAAACTTGCCACGCTAAAATCTCAGGCGATTAGCTTTCGAATGGTGTATGTCTTGTCAATTCACTCCTTCATCACTAATTCACTTTTTTTAAAACCGGTGTCTAGTATAATATCAGAGTGTTTCGCCCAGTGTCGGCGCAATTTGATTCCAAAAAAGCTGAAACTTGCCATGTTAAAATCTCAGGCGCTTAGCTTTCGAATGGTGTATGTCTTGTCAATTCACTCCTTCATCACTAATTCACTTTTTTTAAAACCGGTGTCTAGTATAATATCAGAGTGTTTCGCCGAGTGTGGGCGTAGTTTGATTCCAAAAATGCTGAAACTTGCCATGCTAAAATCTCAGGCGATTAGCTTTCGAATGGTGTATGTCTTGTCAATTCACTCCTTCATCACTAATTCACTTTTTTTAAAACCGGTGTCTAGTATAATATCAGAGTGTTTCGCCCAGTGTGGGCGTAGTTTGATTCCAAAAATGCTGAAACTTGCCACACTGAAATCTCAGGCGATTAGCTTTCGAATGGCGTATGTCTTGTCAATTCACTCCGTCATCACTAATTCACTTTTTTTAAAACCGGTATCTAGTATAATATCAGAGTTTTTCGCCCAGTGTCGGCGTAATTTGATTGCAAAAGAGCTGAAACTTGCCATGCTAAAATCTCAGGCGATTAGCTTTCGAATGGCGTATGTCTTGTCAATTCACTCCGTCATCACTAATTCACTTTTTTTAAAACCGGTATCTAGTATAATATCAGAGTTTTTCGCCCATTGTCGGCGTAATTTGATTGCAAAAGAGCTGAAACTTGCCATGCTAAAATCTCAGGCGATTAGCTTTCGAATGGCGTATGTCTTGTCAATTCACTCCGTCATCACTAATTCACTTTTTTTAAAACCGGTATCTAGTATAATATCAGAGTTTTTCGCCCAGTGTCGGCGTAATTTGATTGCAAAAGAGCTGAAACTTGCCATGCTAAAATCTCAGGCGATTAGCTTTCGAACGGCGTATGTCTTGTCAATTCACTCCGTCATCACTAATTCACTTTTTTTAAAACCGGTATCTAGTATAATATCAGAGTTTTTCGCCCAGTGTCGGCGTAATTTGATTGCAAAAGAGCTGAAACTTGCCATGCTAAAATCTCAGGCGATTAGCTTTCGAATGGCGTATGTCTTGTCAATTCACTCCTTCATCACTAATTCACTTTTTTTAAAACCGGTGTCTAGTATAATATCAGAGTTTTTGGCCTGGGGCGGGCGTAGTTTGATTCCAAAAATGCTGAAACTTGCCATGCTAAAATCCCAGGCGATTAGCTTTCGAATGGTGTATGTCTTGTCAATTCACTCCTTCATCACTAATTCACTTTTTTTAAAACCGGTGTCTAGTATAATATCAGAGTGTTTCGCCCAGTGTCGGCGCAATTTGATTCCAAAAAAGCTGAAACTTGCCACGCTAAAATCTCAGGCGATTAGCTTTCGAATGGTGTATGTCTTGTCAATTCACTCCTTCATCACTAATTCACTTTTTTTTAAACCGGTGTCTAGTATAGTATCAGAGTGTTTCGCCCAGTGTGGGCGCAGTTTGATTCCAAAAATGCTGAAACTTGCCACGCTAAAATCTCAGGCGATTAGCTTTCGAATGGTGTATGTCTTGTCAATTCACTCCTTCATCACTAATTCACTTTTTTTAAAACCGGTGTCTAGTATAATATCAGAGTGTTTCGCCCAGTGTCGGCGCAATTTGATTCCAAAAAAGCTGAAACTTGCCATGCTAAAATCTCAGGCGATTAGCTTTCGAATGGTGTATGTCTTGTCAATTCACTCCTTCATCACTAATTCACTTTTTTTAAAACCGGTGTCTAGTATAATATCAGAGTGTTTCGCAAAGTGTGGGCGTAGTTTGATTCCAAAAATGCTGAAACTTGCCATGCTAAAATCTCAGGCGATTAGCTTTCGAATGGTGTATGTCTTGTCAATTCACTCCTTCATCACTAATTCACTTTTTTTAAAACCGGTGTCTAGTATAATATCAGAGTGTTTCGCCCAGTGTGGGCGTAGTTTGATTCCAAAAATGCTGAAACTTGCCACACTGAAATCTCAGGCGATTAGCTTTCGAATGGCGTATGTCTTGTCAATTCACTCCGTCATCACTAATTCACTTTTTTTAAAACCGGTGTCTAGTATAATATCAGAGTGTTTCGCCCAGTGTCGGCGTAATTTGATTGCAAAAGAGCTGAAACTTGCCATGCTAAAATCTCAGGCGATTAGCTTTCGAATGGCGTATGTCTTGTCAATTCACTCCGTCATCACTAATTCACTTTTTTTAAAACCGGTATCTAGTATAATATCAGAGTTTTTCGCCCAGTGTCGGCGTAATTTGATTGCAAAAGAGCTGAAACTTGCCATGCTAAAATCTCAGGCGATTAGCTTTCGAATGGCGTATGTCTTGTCAATTCACTCCGTCATCACTAATTCACTTTTTTTTAAAACCGGTATCTAGTATAATATCAGAGTTTTTCGCCCAGTGTCGGCGCAATTTG